CTCGAGGTAGAAACCATATATTTACTTAGCATTGCTTAGACTCACCAAAGTTAGTGGATTTGTCTCCAGCTGACAAATAATAGTAAGAGCTAGCACTCTTGTAGCATTTACTGATGGTGGACAGTGTTCTGAATGGATTAGATGATCTAATCTTCACCACAGCGCTATGAAATATGTTCTGGTATCACAAGTCCCATGTTACAAATGATAAACCTTAGCTAAATGATTTGCCCACGGTTACAAAGTTCAGAATTGTTAACCACTGGGAAACCAAAGCTTTTATTTGCTCATCTATCTACCTGTTTGCCATCCTGCTGTCCATCCACCCATCTATTTACCTCATGGTTCATAACCTAGTGTGAACCAAGCACTAAGCTAAGAGGACAAAAATGCATAAGGCATGGTCCCTGTCCTCCTCAGAGTCCCTGGAACACAGTGAGTCGCTCATCCAAGCTTAACCTACACATCGAAAAAACATTTTAAATAGAATTTATTATTAAATATCCTTGCAAATAAATACAAAGTATAACACACCAAAATTAACCAGACCCAAATTTTATACAACTTAATGAATTTATTTCTATTTAGAACTGGCATTTCAAATGGAGGCTATAAAGCTTACATTAAATTTCTTACTTTCAGTATCAAATAGATTTTATGCACTTGTTCACCACCAAAACCAAAAGATCCATGACAGAATTAGAACTAGAAAAGCAATTAACTTTATATTCTTTTTCATAACTTGTCTCCTTTATGAGCATTTAGTCCTTTCTCATCTCCTAACACTTAATTTTTCTTGTTCTCTTTCATCTATTTTATATTGTACCCACATGCATATTTGTTTACATATGTACAGATATTATTGACTATATTCTATACTGTTAACCACTGGAGAAGCAAATCTTTTATTTGGTCACCCATACCCCTATCTGTCTGTCCATCCTTCCATCCACCTACCCATCTGTGTACCGCCTGTATGTCTTAACCTATTATGAACCAGACACTAAGCTAAGGGTCCAAAAATGCTTAAAACACATTCTCTCGACTCACTCTCAGAGTCCCTGGAATGCAGTGGGTCACTCATCTTAATTTGTATCCCATGCATTCTATGAGGACTTTTGCGGACAGTGGAAAGAAAATAAAATGTCCTTTTGGTAGTGAGGAATGTCTGTCTCTGGCCTGTCAATAACAATATCCAAGTGGTACCCACATGCATTCCCTTGTGATGGAATTATGGTCTTCCTCTGTAAGAATGGAGCTCATTGGCCAGTCCGCCTAGCTGAATCGATGAACTTCAGGTTAATGAGGGACCATGTTTCTAAAAATAAGGTGGAAAGCGATTGAGGACGATGCCTGATATTGACCTGTGGCTTCCACATGCTGTTTAGACCTATGTGCACATGCACACATGAACACACACACACACACACACACACACAATGGGTGTGTGTGAGGAAGACATATCATGCTGGCAGCTGTAACATGCTCATGGGCATTTGTGGAGTGACTGGAGGGAGAGGCCAGGCCTAGGCCTGCAGGCACAGCTAGACTTGATTATAGCTAAGTCTTGTCCTGGCTCTTGTGACTGTGGCTCTAATAATACTGTTAATGGGGCCCTGGGGAAGACCCAGCTAGGGTCAGAGCAAATGCTCTGCACCCTCATCACCCAGGCACTCAGGGATACATACCGTCCTCACCTGCCCACAGCTTCCACCAATTAGCCTGGAGCCCAGGCATCTGCACTCTATGGGCATGTGCAGGTCTTTAGGCAGGGAGAGTCTTGCAGATCCTCTGCCTGTGCTGTAATTACCCCGAGGCTGCAGCTCAGGAGGCCGCAAGGGGCTCTGTTCCCCACAGCCATTAGTCTGTGAGGAACACAGTCTTGTGTTGCAGCCTGGATTTCTACTAACAAATCCACACAAGATATCTTCCCTCACTGAAGGGCTTCCAGGTGACAGGTAGCCTTTTTCATTGCCTCCTCCAGTCCATATATTAGCCCCGCCTTGCAATCTGACCACCCAGGAAGGTGGGCCTCGGAAGACAGTCATAGTAAGTTACACTTCAGAGAGACAGCTCAGCAGCTGTGCAACCTTGTCCTTTGATATTTTCTCAGTACTTCACTGTGGAAAAAAAAAATCCCTCCCAAGGTGCTTTAGCTTTGAGGAAACTAAGAAAGGGCACTTCTCAGAATGGCTGGGGAACCTCAGCAACCCGATTGGCTAAGGCCTGGATCACACCCTCATCACCTGGGGTCTCATTCAAAACTGAGCCCTGGGGAAGCCAGGGGTGGAGGGTGTCATTTCCACTACGTCATCCATGAGCCCCTAGCTGCACCTTCTGTCTCCTTTGAGCTGACAGACAGTACTAGGGCAGGGAATGTAGATGACGAGTGTCAAGGTGCAGGCGTGGGGACCCCTGACAGGTCCTGGCATGGAGTCCTGTGATCCAGCATGAACAGAAAGCCCAGCTCAGACAGTCAGGCTGGGCTACCCTAGCTTCCTTCCTGTTAAAAAAACAAAAAACCAAAAAAAAACCAAAAACAAAAAAAACAAAACAAAACAAAACAAAAACAAAACAAACAAAAAATTACCAATTTCTCACCCGGGGCCCCTTGCTGTGATAGGCTGCAGTCAAAGAGACTCACAGGTAATCCACTTTCTGCCTCTGACAGCATGATTTCATCATACAGTTGTCTGAGTGCGCAGTCTGTTTTGGTAGGGGGCAGTTGATTTATTTGCTTCGCCCAGCTAAAGGGAAATACCGTTCAGTTACCCTGGTCACTCAAATGCTCTTCTGGATAAAAGCGGAGAAGCCGACATTTCCCCCTGCCTCCAGTTAACTAGGGCATGTGTGGATGATGGTGTGTGGGGGGGACTACAAAACATGGGCTCCCTCACTCCCTGCCTCAGTTTCCCCTTGTGCAGAGTGGATCATCATTCAGCTTCACTCTTTGGACAATGGGTCGAAATGGGCAGAATACAAACTTTGCTTGTAGCAGAGATCTTTGTAGCACAACGTAGGCAGAGATGATTAGGGATGCGGATTCTTTGTGACCCGGAGTGAGCAACATTCAAGAACAGTGAGGCTTCCAGGCACCCCAGCATGCCCTTGGAACACCTGGCAGGTTGCCATAGTTGCGTCTGAGAGGACTAGGCATCATATTCTCTTAACCTGGATCTTTCTTTCCTCTCATCTATCCATCCTTTGCCTACCACCTGTCTCTTTTCCCCTTTCCTCATGATAGGAAGAAAGATGCAGGTGAGACTAGATCTTGAAGATTCACCACAAACTTCACTGCTTTGGTTTTTGTTTTGTTGTTGTTTGTTCCATTTTTGTTTTTACTTTTAGAGGGGACGGGGAGAGTTTTGTTGGATCTGAGCTGTTGGACCGGATGCCTGTAGCAGAGGCTGGAGGCGTCCAAAGGCAGAGGACAGACATTTGTTCCACATGTGGAAGGAGTGGAGAGGGGAGAGAACTTTCAGTGTTCAGTATCATGTCCTCGCTCCGTGATGCCTATCCCTGCTCCCCTTCAGGAAGGGAATGGAAAAGCCCTAGGCCCTGGAGAGCGGAGTTGGCCACTTTCACAGGGTTGTGTTGGCAAGAGCCTGCCTGCTGTTCCCTGGATGCCTCTTGCTTTGACTGGATTTAAGCCTTTAAAAAAGCGACACCTTGTATTTTATTTCACTCCCTTCTCTGGAAGGTCCAGAGACATTTACGGGCCTGAGTTTGATAGGCTTTACGGTAGCCCATCAAAAGGCAGGGACTATGTCCTTCAACTTCACAGTGTAGAAAATAAAGAGCACAGGAAGACAGAGTAACTCTTCCGAGGCCACACAGTGCTTCTAAGAAAGGAGTAGAAATCCAGTAAATTCCCAGCACTGAGCCAACCCAGAGCTGCTTGAGAGGAGTGTGAGAGCTCTCATCAGCCACTGGAGAGGTCTTTGCCCTCCTGGGTGTAACAGAATCCAAAGGGGACCTCACTGCTACAAGGGGTCCCCTATGTTGGAAATAACTAGAAGCCTGGTATGAAAAGTATACAGATTGAGTGGAAAGATTGAGAAACTGGCCCAGGAGCCCCCCCCCCCCCTTAAGCCCTGACCTCTGGAGGTTTTGATTCCTAGAGTCTGGAGAAGAATTGGGTCATTTGTATCACGGGCTATTGAAGAGCCTCCCATGTAGAGAGTGCTTAGCAGGGTAGATTGGTTTGAAAATGAGACATTTGGGGAAGCCCAAGACCAGGTACCTTCCTCCTTAAGGGCTCTCCTATGGCCCACATAACATCATATTTCCCAGGAGGTTATCCAAGAGGTCCTTTGATGTGGAACATCCTGGGGAGCTTGATCCACAGGTCATGTTCTGGGGAAGGTTGCTATAGGCATGACAAGGCTACAGCTGCCCCTCTTCACTGTGCTCTAAGAGACAGGAGACCAAAGAGCAGCAGCTGAGCAGGTACAAGGCTTGCTCCTTTGAATCCTCGTCCTTTGCTGATCATTTGGGCATGACTCTGTGCTCCTGTTAGCCACACTTCAAGTGTCCAGACTTCATTCTCTCCTTTTGAGCTCTCACTAGTGCATCTGCTCCAAGCCAGTGTGGAGACACAGTCATGGAGGTTGCTTTTCTGTCACACCAGAGCCCAGGTGTTTGTAGCTCATGCAGGGGACTAGCCCAGAACTTTCCCATGTGACGGTGAAGGTGGACAGTTAAGTTCACCAGGATGGCACTTAGAAGGGTTGGAGGAGATGCTGTGGTGTAGTGAGAAACACCTCTAAGGATCTGTGCTGCTGCTATGGGCTTGTGGCTGTTTACTTGAGAAATTTAGACAAACCACCTAGCTCCTCTGCAGCTGAGCTTCTCATGGAAAAAAAAAAAAAAAAAAAAGGAAGGATTTGGAACAAACAGTCCATTGCTAAGGAGTCTTCCAGCTCCAGAGTTTCCTGGCTTCACACCTTTGCCATTTCCCTCCATACTCTTTTCTAACTTTTCTCCCATTTATTTTTCAGCTCCTAACCATTGATGACAACTTCTGTGGCCTGGATATGAATGCCCCTCTGGGAGTGTCTGAAATGGTACGTGGCATCCCGGTCTTCACAGAGGACAGGGACCGCATGACTTCTGTCATCGCGTATGTCTACAAGAATCACTCTCTGGCCTTCGTGGGCACCAAAAGTGGCAAGCTAAAGAAGGTAGGAATGAGGTGCGGTCGTTCTGATTGTTGTGAAGACAGTCTGTCCCCACAGTGTCTCACGGTCATGGGCCTGGCGGGCTGGGAAGACAGATTTGAGCTGAGGAGATACGCTGCTGTTGAGGTTACAGACGTTGTGTGTCCTTTCTCTGCCTTCATTTGTAGGCTGTTGTGGGAATCAGGCTGCATGAGTGGGTGGATTCACCCTTCCCAAGAGCTGGCACACACATGAGACTTGTTAGCCCAGCCTTGCTAGGTGGTTCCAAATGGTGTATTCTGTTCCACTTGGCCTTGTGCCCTTAGGCAAGGGCTCTATTAAGTCTAGGTGGCTGGAGAAGGTGGACTGGGGGGAGGGCTGTGCCTGTTCCTCTTGTTCCAGCCCTTATGGGCTGGTGCATCCATCTGGAATTCATTCAGGGAACAGATGGAGCAATGTGCAGACCTGCTTGAGAACTGCTAATGGGGCTAAGAGCCAGCTTGTGAGAAGAGGACACCATGGCTGCAGTGCAGACACAGAAGTGGCTTATGGATGGCGGGACTCATATGGTCTGAGACTTGGCCACTGACCCTTGTCCTGGCATAATGGGCAACCTTGGCCCACTGGCAGCATCAGGTGTACCTGCTCTTTCAGAAATATTCTCAGCCATGGATCCTTGAGGGGGTTGGAAGTGGCTCTATTGTGAGCTATCTTTGATGGGTTTAAGTCTTTGTAACTCTGGAAACCAGAGGTCCTGCTTTCTGTTGGCTGGTTATTAGTTGCTCTTTAGCTTGTCTTATTTAGGCTTCCCTTGGCAATTTCCAAACACTGTGTGATTCAGACTAAGTAAAATGATGATGACTGAACCTTGATCCCTCCTTTCCCTTTGATGTGTGTCTTGACATTAACTCTGAATAGTCATGAGGTCATATTCTATGTAAGTTAGAAGGTTGTGTCTATTCTATCTTACTACATAGTACCGCAGTAAATAAATACTTCCTTCATGTGGACTTGATATTCAAGCATAAGCTATAGGTCTGGGATGTAACTGTAGAGGGCATGTGAGACAGGATCAGGAGTGAGTGGTGAGTGTATAGAATAAATTATTGAATATCTGGGGAAAAAAACAGAGTCTGCTGCTGGAGTGCCACGGTTCTCAGAAGAAAACCCACATGATACCGTGCCTAATCTTGTATCCCATTTCTGAGTCCTTTCTTAATCTACCCATTGTCTGTACATCCTCAAGCATTATATTTCCTGGGTCCCTACCTTTTCTGTGTCACACATAATTGAATCCCTTGTCACTGCCATGGTTCCTTGGGGTTTTTACCCATGTACTGAACTGAGTTCTATAGATACCCAGAGAATGTGCAGCAGGGTGTTGGTCCTCAGATAGCTCCAGTGTCTAATTGCTACCCCCTGCCTGCTTCTTCCTCTCAGGCTCCCTCATGATCTGTGGCAGTCATCACTTTGCCACTTAGGCGATGTGGCCAGCTTCTCCTCCTGTCAGGCTGAAGCTTCAAGTTTTGAGTGGGCTAGGAAATCAGACCCCCAAACTTGCTCAACGTGTGTCTAGTAGGCTTGGGTACAACCAGAAGAGAAGTCTGTGAGTTTCCTGTAGTCAGAGACCTTGTGGGTACCTCTGCTGGCTCTTCAGAAGGGCTCTGCTTTTGCTATTACTCACTTTGCTGGAAAAGTGAATTCTAAATCCCAGAGGCATGCTATGGTTTGGATCATCTGTGAGATGCTTGGCCCTACCAGAAGATGATGAAACCTTTGGGAGGTGGGGGCTAGTACAAGGCCCCATGGGCATCAGGTCTTGCCCTTGCATGGAATGGTCTAATCCCATCCCTTCATCTCTCTCTGTCTCTGTCTGTCTGTCTCTTTTCCTCTTTTGCTTCCTGACTCATGGTATAAATTACTTTCTCCCTGTCCCATGCTGCTGCTGTCATGCTGTATCAACCTGCCACTCTCCAAAATAGTGAGGCCAAGTGAAATCAGATTGGAACCTTCTAAATTGTGAACCCAAATCCTTCCTTTCTCTCTGAATAAGTTGATTGTCTTGGGTATTTTGTGACAGTGATAAGACACTGTCCAATACAATCACCATACACAGTTCATGCAATGAAGTGTCTGTGAACTGGCTACATCGGCTCCCACAGGGAGACTAAACACTGTTGAGAGTAAGTCCACAAGCACTTTGGGGTGCATTAACTCTTTTCTCTGGTGAGCCCCATCTTAGTACAATGGGAAAAGCAACTTTCTTCACCCTAAAAGACTGTTACCCATGGAATCTCAGACCAGCTATCCAAACAGAATAGCCCCTGGATGAGGGGTAATTTTATGTCATTTTTGGAGTTGTTTAGACTGTGTTGCCAGTGACAGGAACGTGGAGAGTTCTTTGCACACAACAGAACAGACAGTTAATGGTGAAAATATACTTTTTCTGGACTCAACTTCACTGTAAATCTGAGGTAATTTAGAACAGCACAGAAGACTGTCTCCTACCACTGAGACTCAATATCACACAACTCCATGAGTGGGGGTGAGCATACCCCAGGAACCTGGGTGAGCAAATGCACAGAAACCACCCTTCTGGGGGAATGTAGAGGCAGAGCCATGCATGGGTGACAGGCAACACCTAATGGGAAACTTGGGGACATTCTCAGCCACATTCAAACTGGTATTTCCCGTCTTTCCCTTGGTGGGCTTGTGTAAAAACAGTCCGGCTTGAGGCTCCTGAGATGCTATATTTAATTTCCACAGCAGTGGTGTGGGGCTGGTGGGGCATAAATATCTGAAAGCTAGGAGGAGAGGTGTTGCATGGGGAGGACTGAGCTGGTCCTTCTCAGTGTGGGGGAGGGGGGGGCTACCACCCAGGCAGCCAAACTTTCTGCTCCACAGGTTCCCAGTGGCAGCTGCTTAATAGCTTTGCTCAAGCCTGGTGTCTGCTTCTGCAGACTCAGCACAGCCAGCCCAGGGGACAGTCTGAGTTGGAAAAGGAAGGCAGGACTGCCATGTCTGTTGTTTGAAATAATAAGAAGTGAAAGTGGCCCATTTGTTTATTTTCCTAGACAATAGAACTTCCCACCACCAGTAGCTCGAGGGCACCACGCCCCTTTCGCTGCAATAACTCTGATTTGCTTTTTCCCAGAGGTTATCAGACCTACTGCCACCTTTCTGGGCAGAGGCCCAGCCATAGCTGGCTGGAGGCTGCAGCTGAACTTTGCAGCAAGTTTTGTGAGCCACTGAGCCCAGGGTGTGAGGATAATGACAATCATACAGCAGCCGTAATTACAGAGTTGGCGTCCTCCAGCCCTGTAATAATCTCCTGAGTGTACGAAGGCCTTTCAGAGTTCTTTGCAGCATGACAGGGGACTCGAAGTGGGCAAGGTGGGCGGGAAGGGGCTTGGATGGTTGCTGAGAGTAAGGGGAGTCGGCTGTGGGCTTTAGGGACCCGAGAGCTAGACTCCAGCTATCCATAGGCTGCCCTCAAAATTACTGACTTTTCATTTTGTTTGAAAGGTATGGGTTCCAATTATTTGCAGCCTTGCCTTTGATGGCCATAATTTCACTCCTTGAGTGCACATCACATGAGGTGAGGGGAAAGGAGGTGAGGAGAGTGCCAATTTGGATGTCTTTTGTGTTTTCTGGTGTGTGTGTGTGTGTGTGTGTGTGTGTGTGTGTGTGTGTGTGTGTGCACTTGGCAGACTTTCCCCATGGTGAACATAAACGGCATGTTCTGTTAAGAAATCTGGCATATAAATGCAGAAATCATCAGGAGGTGCCCAGGAACTCTAAGGAACCCACAGCCTGTTCAAATTTCATCTGCAGGCAAAATCCATGAAGCAAACACCATCTTGCCTTGCTTTAGGGTGTCTGTGTGAATGTTGGGGTATCTAGATTAAAAATCTGTTTGCTTACATATCTCTGCTGCAGTCCTTTCTGACTCCCTCTCTGCACTAAGTGATCATATTTTATAGTTGCTGATCAGCACTGAATTACTGCCTGACAACAGAGGGAGAGACTGACGTTCCTCGTGAACCACAACATCATAAACTTCCGCTGGAGGTGTGATCGCTCCTTTCGTTCTGTGCTTGTGTTTTTCCCAAGTGCTTTCTGCTGCGTTACACTGTTCCTATCTAAGGGGTGGAGCACTCACCAGTGTTGGTTAAACAGAGCTCTGGCTCTTTCTGCTGTGTGTCTGGATTCCTGTCGCTCCTGGCTGTTATCACATACCTGCAAGAACTTGAGGGAGGAAAGATTTCATTTGGCTCATGGTTCAGGAGATACAACTCATCCTGCATCGGAAGGCATGGCAGTGGGGTTGGTCCTGTTCACGGCAGCAGCATGTGACTGCTTTCTCACATCTCTGTGGATCAGGAGACAGAGAAATCTGCTGAAGCTCAGAAGGATTTCTGTTTTTCCTTTTTCTTCAGATGAGGACCCAGCCCACATTCAGGATTGATATTACCCTCCTCAATTAACCCTTTGGGGGAAGCATATAGACACACTTAGAGGTGCATCTTACTAACATCCTAGGCATTTCTTAATCCCATCAAGTTGACAATCAAAATGAACAATGACAGAGCCTGCAGCAGGGTATATGTTTGAGGCGTCCACGCTCCAAGCTAGACCAGCTGCTCAGGATGGGACCTAAGTGTGTGTCTCCAGGTGGAGTGAATAGGAGTATAAAACACACAATCCAACCTTCATTGCAACGTCCCACAGATTGATTTCATCATCTTTTATTTCTTGGTCTTGTTTTAAATCAATTTACCTGTGTTCCTGGGCCTACAAGTGGGAACCACTCCCAAGCTGAGGTGGGTCGTGTGGACTCACACTAGGTGTGATTCAGAGCACAGCTTCTCAGGATTGAATGCTGTGTGTGTGCATGTGTGTGTGAGACAGAGAGAGGAGAGAGAGGGGAAACAGAGAGAGAAAAAGGAGAGAGCAGAGAGAGGGTGAGAGAGAGAGAGAGAGAGAGAGAGAGAGAGAGAGAGAGAGAGAGAGAGAGAGAGAGC